TTTATTTCATGTTTCAAATGATAAAAACTAAAAATCTTTATTAAACATTTACAAAAAATTTTTGTAGGACGATTTTTGCAAAAAGTATTTGGAAACTTGGAAAAACAAAAACAAAGTAAATCAGAGATTAGAGATAATAATGAACAATTAACTTTTTCGTAGTAGTTTGAAGATGGTATGGAGTAAAAATGATTGGAAGAAAATAAATAAGATACACGTACGCACACAAATATGTACCTATACATATACACACGTTTACATATACACACGTGTACATATACACAGACGTACATATACACACGTGTACATATACACACGTGTATTTATACACACGTGTAGTTTCTATTGCACGTAGAGAAAAAAATTTGTAAGCAATAAATATAAATCAGGAAATGTGGAAAAGTAACTCATCTCTTAATTACGACGCTCCGAGCTCATCTGCATGCATATTTTTATAACGAGTTTACACGTCATATTGCAGCGCATTTTTTCCCCAGTGCAACGAACATAAATTGAGGAAAGATAATAAAACTCACACAAAAATATTTTAAAAGATATAATGAGATGGAACGCAGAAAATAACTGATTAATCACACATAGATAGATGTAGGATAGAATATGCGTGATCAATATCCAATATCTAAAATGTACATGATCAATCAGCCACACATAGAAGATTGTATGATCTGAGACATCTTTTTGTCTTCTGCTTCATCCAAAGGTCGTTCGCGATCCCGACCACCAACCCCATAAAAAATATCAGCCACATGTTTCTGGTTTACTTCGTACCCAGAACCTGTAATGTTTTTCCTTCTCATTTGTTTGTATGCAAACACACAAATAACCTCAGCCACCATCAACTTCAAATTTAACCTACTGACAGATTGATAGTGTTTTAAGAATTGTCGGTTTTGCTCAACAGATTCTATGCCTTTTCGCATCGCTTAAATTTGTTTCTGTACAGATACAATGTTTTTCATAATTATCTGAGAATCCCGAGTTATTAAACTATAAAGCATGTCTCTGTTTTCAAATATATTCATACAGTTTTGACGAGTATTCACTTTTTAATATTCCTGTGATAGATGTCGTTTTTGATTTTTTATGTTGTAATTTTTTGCATTTAAAAATGTCTTGAAGTTTCAGTTTTAATTTTGTTCTGCTGTGATCGCCAAATAACCATACACATTAGAAACGTTTGACTCCATCAGAGAGAGTTTTAGTTCGATTAGTCCTTTACCTCGTGCATCTTCTACACCCCGTTACATCCCCAATTTCTACGATAAGCTAAAGTGTTTCCAACGTTAAATGTTTATTGCTGTTACCTAGCAAAACCACCGACAAATTACAACGCAGTAATTTTACACAGCTAAAAACAGATGACCAACAGATTTGCAATCCAAGAGAGAGGCTGGTCATAAATCTTAAGATGCAATAGCACCAGCCAGCATGCATAATGCATTCAATTGAATACATGCAGGCGATTGAGCCAGGTTCTCTGAAGACGTTTGTAGGATAGGAAAGAACACAGATCGAGCGACGTAACAGTGGTTAGCTTGTGGTTTGGTTTTCTAGCAAGCGAGAATCTCAAGATTGGATGTATACAACGAATATCTGCGCACATTCAAAATACTCGAAACTTTCATTTTCGTTTGAACAATGTCACAATTTCACTGTGAAATTAAACAATTTCTATAGTATAAACCGAATTTAAAAAAAACTAATTACATTTCAACCGATCTAGCGCAATAACATTTCAAGTCAAGAAAATAAAAAACCTGATATCTTTGATAGTTTATTTATTTCAGCGGACAGAGTTATGGAATCCAAGCTTAAGAATGACAATAAAATGATCCACGTTATTTACACAATATACACACACGTATATGTTATATACACACTTATATCATGTATTTTGTATGAAAAAGTTAAATAAAAATGTATAAAGCATTATGTTCTTTAACCAAAATAAAAAGTCACTGAAATGAAATGATGGAGTAAGAAAGGAAAGAGAGAGAGAGAGAGAGAGAGAGAGAGAGAGAGAGAGAGAGAGAGAAAGAAAAAAAATAGAGAGAGGTTGAAAAATATTGACTGAATAGTTAAAATATATGGCCAACAATGAATAATTAGCGTTACTCGTTATCTAGTAACACTCCCAAAAACCAGATGATATTTCATCTGATTAAAAAAAACCAAGAAAACGTGCTTGAATCTTATGTGTGATGCGTGTTTGCTTGCTTGTGTTTGTATGTATGTATGTGTGTGTGTGTGTGTGTGTGTGTGTGTGTGTGTGTGTGTGTGTGTGTGTGGACACCAAGAGAAAAACGAAATTCAGCGTAGCATCATCAAACGAACCTCATCATATAATATTATGTACCTTTCCATCATATAATATTATGAACGATTAATTTGAACAACAACCAGCAAATATATCTTATATAATTCTCTTCAGCTTGACTTGTGATGAAAGTTTTCAATGAACAAAGACATACATACACAGGTGTTTAAAGGCACTTATAATAATAATAATAATAATAATAATAATAATAATAATAATAATAATAATAATAACAACAACAACACACGTTTAGACGACATTTTCCTCGAGATCATGGGTTGTCGTTTGGCTACCTATGATGAAACCGAAATGCCCCTCGACACCATTCACATCTGTCACTCGCCTCAGTATCAGTATCTCCGCCTCAATAATAATAATAATAAAAATAATATGAATGAAGAAAATGATTGTAAAAGTTTAACACTAAAAAATGTACGAAAAATAAATAAAAATAATTATATTACAAGAGAAACGCCTCATGGGGAATTAATATTTAAGTGAATGATGGAGAACAACAACATAGATAACAAGATGGCATAGGACTCAAAAAGGACAAGCGTGTACAATTGCCACAAATAAATAAGATATGCCTGGATGAATAAGTAAATATGATTGTATCGAAAGAACAAAAGAAAGGTAAACCAAATTAAATAAACTCATAAACGAATTAAATTGTAGTTGTTTTAAATTATGAAAATTCAACATTCAATTGATTTAATAAACACAGAACAGTTCACGTCATGCAATGGCCTGGAGGAAAATGTCAAACTGTGATTCTACGATCAAGAGTAAAAAAAAAATGGAAACTTGTAGATTAAACCTAGTATAACATATCAATCAATCAATCAATCAATCAATCAATCAATCAATCAATCAATGTTTTTCTGTGTATATATGTAACTTATTCATCCACGGTCCAACAATAAAGAATTAGATAAATCAATCAACCAGCCGACCAAACAACCAACTAATCCTATCTAACCTACTCAATCTAACAACCACGCTAGTTTTATTTTTTTCATAGTAGCAAGAATATGTTGCACAAACCCTGAGCCGACGGAGAAACCAGCCAGTTAATAACGCAAACAACGGAACTAATGTATCTAGCAAATGTACATGTATATCAATCATACTATCCACAAACAGGTGATACGATACTGCCAGGTGATACACATCCATGCATGTACACAAACGCCGTTATACACACGCACACATCAATTAAATATAAATTATAACATACATGCATACATATATTACGGACATATGAACAGAAATGTGATTGATTATTAACCATTACTTTCTGGAAAATAACTAAGTACTGAACGCACAATACCTATTATGAACGTAATGTAACACCTATTATGTCTAAGTGAAAAAATATAAAATATCTATTTACTACTATTACTACTAAACAGATTATCATCATGTAATAAATAATATATACATATGTATATATAGAGCATTGTATGAATTCTATTAAATTGTTGGCATTAATCAATTTAAAGTTTGTCTTTTCAATTATATAATTTTGAAAAGACAAACTTTAAATTGACTAATGCCAACAATTCGATAGAATTCATACAATACTGTATAAAATATGGTCTCCTTCCAACATATGTAAATATATAAATGAAAAGACGAACTTTAAATTGATTAATGCCAACAATTCAGTAAAATGTAAGTATATATATATATATATATATATATATATACATATGTATACACACACACACATATATATATATATATATATATACATACATTGATGAAAATCACAGCATATTCGGCTTTAGTTAACTTACTGTTTAACTTTTCGATTTTTCTAACGGTTAATCGTAAATCATTCTCAAGTTTCTTGAGTTCAAGACTCAAATTTTTGTTTATTTTATGCATGATAGAACAAAAAAGCTTTTTTCGGTATTACTATACCATCTTCGGTGTCCAAATTGATACGCTGTGTATGTGCCCAAATGTTCAAATATATATATATACTGCGTCTCTACTCTACTTTGTTGATCCCTTGTTTGTTCAAAGTCATAAAAGCTTTTTTGTTCTATCATGCATAAAATAAAACAAAAATTTACGGTCAACCGTTGGAAAAATCGAAAAGTTAAACAGGAAGTTAACTAACGTCGAACATGCTGTGATTTCCATCAATAATTACATTTCTGACAGTCTTAATCTAATATATATATATATATATATATATATATATATATATATATATATATATATATATTATATATATATATGATTATATATTATATATCCATTATATATATATATGATGGACAATTTTCCAAAACAAACTAAGTTAAGTTTACAATACAAGATGTGTATGAACCTCATTCAAAAAAGAAAGATAACATAGACCAAAACGTTAAATAAAATAACCAATTCAACTGCAAATTCTCAGACATCCCCAACACTGAAACAATTTTATACGTACATACTACCATTTTCAAACAATATTTAATAATAAAAATTCAGTTGCTCAACTGAATGATTCAGCTACAGTCAATGCAAATTACGTTTCACAAAAAGTCCAAACTTAATTTTGACTATCATGATCAACATTAATTATTATTTACAGCTCGGTTGATTATGCTTAGTCTAATAGACTCAAAGAGAGACAAATACACAACAGCAGAAGTAGCAGGTGTTACATTAAGTCACTACACGTTCCATGAAGTAACGACGACGACGATGACGAGGCGACCAAATTGTTGCTGAAATTGAAACAGTTGAATTTAAAAGTAGATGCGCCACTTTCGCCATCACCGTTGTCTTCATCAGTAACATTCGAGGTCTTCATTTTCTTATTGCTGTTATCGAAGGTGCTGTTGTGGAGAACTTTGGTGACGTAATTATGGTCCTGTACTTGACTCTGCATCAAGTCGAGCCATTTGCATTCAATTGCTACCCCACTGTTTCCTGCAAGTCCCTCTCCATCATCATCTCTCAACAAGCCGTTTCTTATGCTGATGCTGCTGTTGTTGTTGTTGCTGTTCGTGCTGCTGCTGTGGTTGTTGTTGCTGTTCAGGCTGCTGTTGTTGTTGTTTGTGCTGCTGCTGTTGTTGTTATTGAGGGTGGAGATGCCGGAAACTGTACCCTGAAGGACGAATTTGTTTATGAAATCATTATCGGCAATGCTGAGAACATTTGATGAATAAAGAGTTGGAAGGTTGTTTATTGAAGATTGCTCTGCCACTGTGAAACTCATGATTGGTGGCTGATGTAGTCGATGCTGGCCTGTTGTTGACTGATTGCAACCGCTGGTTGAGGCATTTATTATAATGGTCAATCATGGTGTATGCCTCGTTCAATTTTTTTGTCAAAACATCAACTTCAGAACACTTTTCTAAAAACAAGGCCTGCACTTCTTGTAACTGGTGGCAGGTAGGTTTTGTTCAGAATTATTTATTCTCATAAGTTGTTAAATTCAAATCTTATTGCATTATATTTCTAATCTTAATTGAAACAAAAATCTTAAATACAAAGAACCATAAAAGCCATTTACTTCTAACTCAAGCTTCTTGATATTGTGCGAGCTGATGTTCGAAACTTGGTTTACACTATTTGAGTAACTGTTGTTATTTACATCGTCCTCTATAGAATCTGTGTTGTTGAGTTTAGTCTCATTTGAAATGGATTCATCGATTTGCTGCTGTGGTTGTTGTTGTTGCTGCTGCTGAAGGGCTAGCAGAGCAAGTGTACTGGGGTCGATACTGTACACATACTCACCATTCTGGAAGACGGTTGGTACTGTGAGTCCCAGCTGTTCAAATAAATCCTGATCAACTAGGCTGGTGACGTTCTGTTGCTGGTTGGTTGTCAAAGTCATGTTTGTTGGCATTTGTTGTAGAGACGAATCAACGGGTGCCAGTTGTGGTAACTCCTGTGGTTGTACAGTGTTGAGAGGCAATGTTATAGAAGAGGTCTCAGAAATCGTTGATGTCTCTGGTGCAATAACTAAAGGAGTGATTGCTAAAGGAGCAGTAGAGAGTAAACTTGATGTTGGTGTTGCTGTTGCTGCTGAGGTCATGCTGGCCTCAAGTGGCTGCTGATCTGAAAGCTATATGAAATGATATCTTACATGAATGAAAATAATGACTAAATCAATGTTAAAAAACCAAATAAATACTAGTTATAATTATTTTATTATGTGTATTTGTGGCTTAACGCTCATTTCTATAACTCGGAAATGGCCACACATATCTTTGAAATACTGGCTGGCCTGTTTCAACACATTTATACATTTTCTCATTTATTCCTATCCTCCAAAAGCAAGATCTACTGAATGAAATAGAAAGTAACAGTAGCTGGAATGAATGATGGTCAAGCTGACGCAATTATGGTGCAGAGGTTAAATGAAATTGAAGCCATTTGAATTAATGATTGATGTCAAAATAACAGACCTGACTGATCTGAGCAGTTATCTGATTGATGGTTTGTCCATGTGATTGAAGGGAACAGATTTTAACTCCAGCAGATGACCTCTTGGCCCGAGGTTTGACGAGGTCGGAAGGGGTCATACCTGTTTCCTTGAAGAACTCTTGTAGTTCTACCTCATATCTTTCCTGTTTAGAAAAATTATGAACTTTGAAAGAAAATTATAGTGAGCTGTTAGAGTTAAACTGTATTGGTATGCCGACTGTGAACTAAATACTGATAAATGTATGCTTTTGAAGAGAAGAAAGATAAATGAATTATACAAAAAACTAAACATCAAATTCTTCAAACAAAAAATGAACTAAAATACTTTTTATTTATAAAAAAATTATCAGCCCATTAAAAATACATTGACATAATAGCATTCATAATTAACATAATATAAAGCATTAACATAATTTAATTTAATTTAATAAAAGGCCTTTAACATTAAGATAATATTTGCAGACCTTGCCCTTGAAGTACAGATCATTGTATTTCAACTTCTCAGTAGCATCCAGATCTCTCCACATGCGACCGACGATGGCTCCAATCTCACAGACTGATGACAGATGTTGGTGAGATTCCTTCACATCTCGCCAGACCTGATTTTTGTTCATATAGTTCATACTGCCAGTAGAGTTATTTAAAATATTTTTATAATCAAAGTGCCACCAAACTATAAAATTAAACCCTAACCCTTAATTTTACTCAGTTTACTATAACTCAGGTAGCAAAAAATTTCAGCAACTGCTAAGCAACATGGCATGATTGCATGACATGTTGTGCCTCCTCCTGCAACATTCACTCACATGATTTACGCCTAAAGGTGTTTCACCTCTAAGCTAAAATATTGAGGGTCCAGTCTTGTAATGAGTTTCAGCTAAAAAATAGCTACATACTTATAATTTTTTACTATCAATTGATTTCCGAGATTGAAAGAATAAACAAGAATCTGTAAAAAAATTCACTCAACAATTTATTTTATAATACAAAAAATTAATTAAATGGAAACCTGCTTGCTAAAGATCATGTAAGGTGTAAGAGGTTTCTTCGGTGGTGGTTTGGACATCGGCTGTTTCAATCTATTCGGTGTTGTCAATGTTTGGTTGTTGGTAACTTTGTTGTTCGCTGAAGTCTGGATAATCCTCTCTGGACTAACAACTACATCATTGGTGCTGTTGTTATTGATAACATTGGTTGTTAAAATATTTATGCCGTTGTTGTTGGAGTCGCTGTGACCATTCATGTTAACTTCTACAGAATCTGTTCTAGTGCTATCGATTGCATTTTGCACATTGGTTAGGAGGTTGGTGCCAAAAATGTTAGATTGGTTTGTCAATATCATTTGGATTGCAGGATCAAAGCATTCAGTAATTTGTTGTTGGCCTAAAGTAGAATTAATGTTGTTCAACGATATTAGATTACTCAGCAAGTTATTAGTGCCATTGTTAAAACCCAGTTGTTGCAGTTGTTGTTGCAGAAGCAATGACTGAGTGATGTTAGGATTTAGAAACATCATCTGACAGGGCATTTGTAGCCCAGCATTCTGCTGAATGAATGCAGTTAGGTTCATGTTGTTGCTGGAGTCTGTTTCGTTTGAAGTCGATGAAACAACTTGTCCCGACACGATATCTGTATTCATGTTATCCATTGAAAATGATCTGTTTTTGAGGTATTTTAATTTTAATTTAAATGAAACAAATACTTTTTTTATTAGCAACCATATTTTATTAACAATTTTGTTAAACTTTACAGCAGAATTTTTAAAACTCTCAACACATTGATCAGCAGTCTTCATGTTAATATAAATATTTAAAAAATTGTTGTTATGCATTTCAATTTTTAATTAAATTATAAATATAAAATTGGAAATTAGAGATAGAGACTCTCCTTCTAATTGTCATGAACACTTTTTTGAAGTAAAAAATTAGTCTGTACAATTCCCCATTTGGTAAAATAAATTTCTCTGCATATCCAATCAAAAACTTCAAAAGAGCAAAACTGAGAAAACCGAATTCAATCTCCAAATAAAAAAAACCTCCAAATCAGAAATATATATATCTTTCTTGTATAATTTAGTAGAGTCCAATTGAACCACTTTCACGCTTTCTTGCGAAAGTTAATCGATTTGAATTGCTTGAATATTTAAAAAAATTGCAAAAATATCACAAAAACAAACTTTACCATACAATTTATTATATAATATGTGTATTTATTTATTTATTAAATATTTTATTCAAAAATATTAATCTGAATAGATTAGTTTCGATAATAAATAACAATATAAACAAAGCAATGAAAACCATGGAACGCTGGTGAACGTTTGCATTTTTATCGAATGTAATAATTAAAATATGCTTAACATAGAATACAGTAACAATTAACAGTAACAATGTCCAAACAATTAACTTTGATGATGTCATTGGGGATAAGTATCACTCACATAGCATGAGACAGAACGGAATCTCTATTACAGTGGAATCTGATCTCTCTAATAGTAGTAGTGGCACTTTGCCGTCGAAAATAAGATTAAAGTTACAATTAACCAATTAAAAAGACAAAAAACTATGTCCGAAAAAAAAACCGGAACTATTTGGTCATGTTTGTAAAATTGCTAATTAATTAAATCTGTCCTGATATGGAAAAGGAAGGGAAAAGGAACTGGAAGGGAAAAAGTGTAACATCAGCGGAGGACATCACGTGACTAAGACGAAAATGAGGTACTCATAATATTGCGAAAATTTGAAAAGAAACTTTAATTGACAAAATATTTGGACTCTAATCAATCAGACTCAACGGTCTCTCAGATGTTTATTAAGGATCTACAAAATTTTTAGTGAATTCAAATGGCATAAATAGAATGAAAATAATCAAATAAATATTTAGAAATCGTCGCAGTTCGAAAATGTGAAGCAAAGAAAAAAAAAAATTTCCTGTAACGTCTTTTAGATGCTACTGTTTTTCATAACATGTGAACAGAGATATACGATTATATAATATCCATGCATGTGAAGTCTGGAAAAATAATATTAACGGTGCTGGTTGAAATTTATGTTATTTGGCAGATGTCATCTCGGCACATCATAAACTAAATGATTAAATATAGCATGTTGTTCTGCAGAGATAATAATGGATGAGTTTGTAGTCTATACACTGGATTGACGTCAAATACGATCAATATTGATATTCATAATGAATATTGCATTATATCAGGAGTGCAACTAATAAAATAATGTTAGTAATCAATGCCATAACATATTAATTGATATGTATCCTCATTTTAGTATTGCTCTGTCGTTTGTGTTGTTGCGCGTCTCCTCCGCTTCACTACCACTAACTTATAAATCATGCCATTTTCACATTTTTCATGATAAAACGACAAAGTTTCAAGTAAAAAGTTACATCTCTAAGTGGTTATTACATCAATAATATTTTATTTAGTTCAATGAACCATAAACGATAGACTGACGGGGGAAGGCCGCATTTTGAAAATTTTTAAATTTCTAAATTTAGACGGTGGGCCATGATTTGTGAGTGTAGCCAAAATTAGGCTGGCAACAACCGCAACTAACAAGGCATTTAAAAACGACATTTCTTCCCCAAATACATTCGACTTTAATAGCGATCAACAGTTAGAACAATAACATTGAAAAATAACCTTAATAAATTTGTTAGCAATATTAGCAAAAAATAATAAGGATACAATAAGAATAATAATAAGAAAAATTATAATAAAAATAATATAGAAACGGATAGACATTGTGCTACCGCATTATCTAACTTGAATTCCTATGTAATAAGCAGGATCATTCATTATGGGGGATAACAATAAGTAAACGTTGTGTCTATTCTTCTTTATAACGATATAAACTTGCCGTTTAGTGTCTATTAGTCTATTATAAATCTACGCACACTCATTCACACCACACACACACACACACACACACACACACACACACGCACACACACACACACACACACACACGAACACACACACATAAATATTATTGTTCAAGAACTTATGGAAGTATCACATTTAAAACCCGTCAGTGGGAAGCATGGCATTCTATTATTTTAAATCATTTGTTCTTTTTGAGTTTTATCGAGGAGAGAAAAAAAATTGCGTGACCATTAAAGGCTGAAAATGAATCAAGTGAACGAGAATGGTAGGCCGCTGGATTGCATCAGCACTTTCACTCTATGAATATTGCATGCTATTCACCGTTAGAAGCAGCCAAATGGGGATGCAAATACAAACACAAGTACATATATAGACAGGCACGTATGTGCATGCCTGCATACATACAATTTATACAATATACATGCATACGTGGATGCATTCATGCATACATACACATACTTTCGTGTACTTGGATAGATATATGTATGTAGGTATGTGCAATGTAGAAAATATCTACTCCATTAAACTCTTGTTACCGGTGTTTGTTAAAACGAGTTTGTTGGCATTCAAATGTAGGATGTTGTTTTGTTTTTATTGGAGTAGAAAAGTTGGAGGTGCTGAAAAATGAAAAAAAGCATTGCTATAAAATATTATTTTTGCATTTAAATTGTTTGACGAAATTGAATTAAGACAAATTTTATATGGGTGATATAAAATAATGAAATATAGTGTTTGAATGAAATAGATAAAAACGAGTATCATACATGTAAGTAAGTGAGACCATCTTGTTAAAAGCAAACGACGTCCAACATCTGCCACACGATGATACGACAACACGTCAACAGGCATTCCAGACTAATGAGAATAAATTAAAAATTTAAATAAACATGCGGCAATGAATGCCAGTCGTCTCAGTGCACAACGAGCTTTACAGCAATTTGACAATACTCTGCAAATTTATGGGCAGCATTAATTTGATGTATCGGCAACACTGTGAATGTGGAGTCATTAATTTAAATGGTGCTTTTTTCAAGCAAAGACCACCAAACAAACTAGCACGCTCATCTACTCATCACCGTCATTCATCATCACCACCACCATCATCATCATATTTGCAATCATATTTTCATCAACATCGTGCTCATAATGTTTGTTATAGTTAAAAAGTCAGTCATATCACTATTATTCAGTGTCACTTCGTTCCGGGAATGTTTCATCCCAACCATCATGACTACATAATCCTGTCGATTATCATCGCCAATGACATCGTTATGACTACATCTTATTCCAAACGTCATAACAAATCGTACACACAGTTCAACTATCGCTAGGAACCAGGGAGGTGCACTGCACATTCATTGTACGTCTGACGAAATATTCGTAAACAAGACAAGGTCCCATTTAATTAAGCCAATTATTTCAACGCGGGTTATTTCGTATTATAATGACAATCGATTTTACATAAATATATATTTTCAATTCCCAAAATTACAATTTAATACATCATTATTATAATCATTAGTATATGACACATTTGAAATGTGAAATGCGATTGTATTGTTTTTATTTCTTCCTCTTATAAATTTAATTTATGTAATGAACTAACAAAAAATTCATCGTGCAAAAAAAGTTTGACGGGTAAACATTTGAACTTTGTTTGTTTGATAAATTTTGAGTCATTCGGGTTGAAAATTTTTTAAAGGAAATGTTTCTATTTTTAATCCGGACAACAGCACCAACTTCAACAGCAACGAAAAAACCTGAAAAAGTTATTACCGAAATACGATGAGCAGCTTAAATCTAATCAGAAATTTGGGTATGAGGCAGATTGAAGCGAATGTGTATAAAATATTTATCCTCTATATGTGCGTGTGTTACGTGTATGTAATGTATCTACATACGTGTATGTGTGTGGGTGCGTGTATGTATAGTTTAAGCGTGCATGTTTGTATAGATTTGCATACTCATGTGTTTGCATTTTAATATTCAAACATGTCACCTTGGGACTCGTATATAACGCTACCTGCCTTGAATATCTTCAATAGACTTGGATTAGATGTGAAACTTGAAAATTAAAAAAAAAGTTGAAACCATTACAAAGAAACCGAAGAAAAATAAAACGAGAGTATATTGAGTGAGTGGAAAGCAACAAGGCCCGAGCGTTGAACTGGTGACCATGTGCTAGGGGGAAGTTTAAAATTCTATGAAAAAAGTAATCAAGCGAGGAGGAGAATAAAGGAATTTTAATGACAAGCGAAGGTCGTTACGTTATCTATCCTGTCGCGGGTTAATTGCGCGCATTACAATGCATCATTAATATCGTCCATCTATTGTGGTACTGTGTTGAATTGATTCTATCGCGTGCATCATATCTCGACATTGCATTAACGTGTTATGAATATATCCCTTTTAAAAAAGAAACTATGTTATAAGTTTATATGTATGTACCTGTATCTATGCAATAGTTTTATATATATATATATATATATATATATTTATATATATAATTTTAAAATTATATATAGATATATTGTTTATATATATATAGTTTGTATGCATTTTACCTTAAGGCACAATTATATCGTATGCCTGAATATGTACAATGTACGTTTGTATTAGTGGGTGTATATATGTGTATGTATTATTGCGTGCATTTATTCTTGCACGCGTGGTTGTGTGCATGTATATAAGCGTGCATGTTTGTGTGCGTGCATGCACGTATGCATGCATGTGTGCATGTATGTATGTGGGTATGTATCAGTGTCTTGTAATAATGCCTTGTGCACGTTACTTCACACATGTGTATGAGTTGTGTTTATTTGGGCATCTTTGTAAACCTCACCGTTCGAATATTGTTGTAGTGACCAGGAAGTGATTACAATTTTGATCGTCAGGAGAGGGGGATGGGGAGAAATGATGTGGAAACTTTGCTGCTGAATGCTCAGGATGGATGCATCACAAACTTTGTGGCGTCGATTGAAACATGCATGACGACTAACGATCCCTCGGTGATGAGAAAAACATTGTAAAGAAATTTGAAATCGCTTTCAACAAAAATTTAAAAATTTTAGACAGGATTATTTTAAAAAAGATTGACTTTCTTAACGTTGTTAGTATTTTTGGAGGTAGGATTAATAGAGATTAAACATTTAGGTAAGTGATCCGATTTTTCAAAAGATGCCAACGCACTGGCAGACTCAGGGAGATCGGGGAAGAGAGGCCCCACGTTATCAACAGTTAACGATCATTTTGTTGCAATTTTTTAACAATTTGGCCGACATACATTTTTTTAATTAATTTTCATACATTAAAACTCTGTTTTTACTCAATAAAACATAGTTTTAATAAAAAAATTAACAAATAATCGTGTGATAAGCGAAGAAAAGTCGTTAATATAGACTATTGCAAAAAAAATTTTAAGTTTTTGACCCCCTTTGTAAATTTTTGGTTTTCCGTCAACATTTTTAGAACATTCACAAATTATTCATATCGCGCATATAAATAAATAATTAATGAAATAAATAAATGTATATATATATATAATTGAAGATACGTACGTGTTGCAGTTACGATGTTGCAAATAGACGAGCAAGCGTGTGTTTATTTACCACTTTAGAAAATACGACCACGGTGAGGCAATAAAGAAGAGAACAACATTGACCTTTGACCTCATTACCAGCCAACCTACCTGCCAACCTACCTACAACCTACCTACCTGTCTGAATGCCAGCGTGTTAGTTCTAGATTTCAATGTTTAGTAACATTTCAATTCTCAATAACATTTGGACGTTTAGAAATTTCTCTAACAGTAGAATTTAATTTTTATATTATGAACTATTTGCACGGTGTTGATATCTGAACACGGACGTTGAAGATAATAATTACACACGATGATGAAGCTGAAATCGCAGTCATAATAACTTCTGGAAAAATATAAGATAACGAAAATATTACTAAATGCCATTTGCAATTGCGCTGACTTGTGATGACCCTAACACTCACGATACTTTATAAAGGAAAACAATAGGACCCATACAGCAGAACGTGGCGAAGATGGGAATGTCACGGACATAAATCGATGGCAACAAATAAATGAAGAGAAGCATTAACGTTTCAAGTTTATTGCCAATGACAGAATCCAAATTTTTGCCACTTTTAATGATCATTTAAGATGATAAAAGAAATGCAGTAAAAAATTTAATAATATTAAATTAAATTTCCTATCTGGATTCAAACATTGTGTTGAAAAGTCATATTTTGTCTCGATTTATTTGATATTTGTGAAAAATGAAATAAAGTTGATCTACGTTACTTCAATTAAGAAGGCATGAACACGGCGCATAATTGCATTTATATCTGGACAGTTATTTATTATTAATAGGATTTATGGCTCAATATGTTCGCGGAAATATTATTGATCATGCCTGTTTTTTTTTAGTTCATTTTCAATAAAATATTTTCTGGCTTTTTTATTGTTTTTAGTCACAACAGTTTTTTACATTATTCATTATTAATATTTTAATATCTAACGAAGGTCTTTCCAACCTTTTTTGGCCCAGCTTCCCAAAGACTCTGTAAAACTCTTTATGACCCCCGTTTGTTCGAAAAAGTTGATACATTTTTTTGGTTATATTTTATGGTTAGATACAGTGGTTTGCTTTTATTGTCTGCTAATATTTTCACTTTCACCAAAAACCGTAAAGCCCGATTCAATTGTTGATTAATTTTTAAAACAAAAATGTTATTGAATGTTAATTATTTAAACCTTATATTCAGAGTTTCAAACATTAATTTCCGTCATGCCTCTAATTTAATAAACCAATCGCGTTGATAATGTACGTACAATGACGAGAATCAAACAAGAGACTTCCAAGAAAAAGCGCTTGTACTTAAGCGCACAGCAAGAATAAAAA